TTTAAAAATTTGAAAAAGTATTAAAGGACCATTTTACTAAGATTTTACCAAGACTCACCTGCAGATACCTGACATGTGAGGAAGGCAGAGAACATTTTCAAAGAGCCAGCATATTGGTACACAGGTTCATTCTTTGATTCATACATTTATTCAATAAAGATTTAACGAGTTCTTCCAGCATGCTGCAGTGGGAGACGACACTAGGTCCTAGAGATGGGGAGGAAACCAAGGCCTGGCTCTTACACTGCTCACGGTTGGGCACAGAAGGGACAGGGGCATGAGCAATTGTGCAGTGCACAGTGTGTGTAGTTCATGAGGTGGTGTTAATAAGAATGTGCCCGAGGGCAACACACCCAGAATCCCAGAAGCAGGATGGCTCATTTTGCAAGTGTGGCCAGACTCTTTCCATGGGGTGCCATGTTCACCAATGAGAGAGCCCAGCTACTAGGAGGACCCAGAAAACCCCGGAATTTATCTATAAAAAATTGTGTATTTATTTCTACATGTTTAAACTTCAGTCACCTTCAAGGTTCTCTCTGTGATGCAATATACCTATCGAGACGCTTTTTCCACTGCTCAAAACAGCTTTTGAACTTATCCATATTGATGCCTTTTAGTGCTTATGCCGTTTTTTGTTTCACCTCCTACAAATGGGCAAAACATTTCTCTTTGAGGACTTTTTTCATCCAGGGAAAGAAAATAAAAAAGACTCTTGAGGTGAAATCGGGTGAATAGGGAGGGTGGGGCATGGAGGTCATGCCATTTTGGGTCAAGAACTGCTGAATACTCAGTGTGGTGTGGTCAGGTTCGCTTGTAAATCACCCATCATGAAATGGGCAAATGTGCTGAAAGAATCTCCCCCCCGCAAAAAAAAAAATTCACTGAAGCCAAATTGCAGCCTCTCACAACAACACTAGCTGGTTCACTGATGCCAGCAGGTTCTTAGAAACACTTATCCAGTGGGGATAGCCTGTCTTATAGGGAGCCCACCTCTCCCAAAAATAATTCTGGGTTTTTTTTTTTTGAATCCCCTCTTTTATTTTTAATATCACTTAAGTAAAATGGATGCTACTTTGCCAAGATTATAAACATTAATAGAAATATCATTTTTTGTTTGTTGGCTTGGTCTGGTTTTTTTGTTTGTTTGCTTTGTTTTTTGAGCCAGAACCTCACTGCTTGGGTTGGAGCACAGTGGTGCAATCATAGCTCACTGCAACCTTAAACTCCTGGGCTCAAGTGATTCTCCCACCTCAGTGGGGACTACAGTACAGGTGCACACCACTGTGCCCAGCTATTTTTTAATAAAGACAGGGCTGATCTCAAACTCCTGACCTCAAGTGATCCTCCCTCGTCGGCCTCCCAAAGCACTGGGATTACAGGCATGAGCTATTGCACCCAATCCAGACATACTGTTTTATAGGAAGGCTAATTACATGGGACGTCGGTGGTATGTATTACGAGGAAGAGTGATGGATGACTTGTAGGCTCAATAAAGCTAGAGTATCCTTGCTATCTCTGTAGAAGACCTCAGCATGAGAAGGGTCTCCTTCCTCTGCCTTGTGGAGCAGGAGGGTAGTCTGTTTTCAGTTTCTCGGTCATTTGTGCCATGACCACAGGCAGAGCTTAGTGTTTATAAATAGCTTGTATGTGCATAAACAGGTTGTGCCATCTTTTTCAGCAATTGAAAGAACATATTTTATGGGTCTGATGGATATCTCGCTTCTTTTTTTTTTTTTGAGTTGGAGTCTCACTCTGTCACCCAGACTGGAGTGCAGTGGCCGCTCCCGGCCACCGCAGCCTCGACCTGCTGGGCTCCGGCGATCCTTCCGCCTCAGCCTTCCACGTAGCCGGAATTACAGGCGTGCGCTACCACGCTCGGCTGATTTTTTGATTTATTGTAGAGATGAGGCCTCATTTCTATTTATCTTTTTTCCCCCCACAATTTGGCCATTAAGTTAATTATATGTAATTGATATCTATATCTTTTTCTGTGTCTATTTTGAGTTGGAGGTCTCAGTCTGTCACCCAGGGTAGAGTGCAGTGGTTTGATCAAGGTTCACCACGGCCTTGACCTCCTGCTCTCAGGCGATCCTTCAGCCTCAGCCTCCCAAGTAGCTGAGACTACAGGCACATGCCACCATGCCCAGCTAAATTAAAAAATTTTTTTTTTGTAGAGACGAGGTCTTGCTATGTTGCTTAAGGTGGGTCTCAAACTCCTGGGTTCAAGCAATTATCTCTCCTCAGCCTCTCAGAGTGCTGGGATTACAGGCACAAGCCCCCACAGCTGGTCACTAAATCATTTGTTCATAGCTTACTCTCTTTTCCCTGTGTGTTTACACATATATGATGCCAAGCATCATACCCAACTAATTTAAAAGGTTTTGTAGAGATTGGGTCTCACTATGTTGCCCAGGCTGGTCTCAAATTCCTGGGCGTTAGCAATCCTCTGGCCTTGGCCTCCCAAAATGCTGGGATTATAAGTGTGAGCCACCACACCTGGCCAATATTAGCTGTTAATGTAACTAATTGCTTTTATCCAATTAAAAAATGTAAAGATTTAAAAAATTATATATTTGTAAAAAATAAAAACAGGATATATTACACATGTATGAAGCAATAGCTTAGTTCATGTAGTACCTTTAATTATCTTAGTTCATTTTGTTCTGCTTAAAGAATACCTGAAACTGGGTAATTTATTGGGAGCAGAAATTATTCTCTCACAGTTCTGGAAGCTGGAAAGTCCAAGACCAAGGTGCTGGCATCTGTCATCTGGGAGGGTCTTCTTGCTGTGTCCTTACCTGGTGGAAGGTGGAAGGTCAAGAAGGGACTCCCTCGGTCAAGTCCTTTTTAAATGGCATTCATCCATTCATGAGGGCAGATACCTCATGGTCTAAACACCTCCTGATGGTTTCACCTCTCAGCATGGTTGCATTGGGGATTACATTTCCAAAACTTGAATTCTGGGGGACACCTTCAGACCATAGCAGTGATCAAGAAACATAGTCTTTGACAACTCTAAATCAAAGGACCCCCTCCTGGCCTGCATACATTAGTTACTTGCAAATTCTTAAGATCTGTGTCTCTTAAAATGTGTTAGCTCCTTTTGCTTAGAGACAGTTAATCTCAACGACAAAGATAAACAAACTGTCTGTTAGCATTCTGGGTTTGCTCAAAAAAAGCCCAAGACTCCATTCTGATATTTTCACGTATTTTCTTGGTAAAAATATGTTATATGGCTGTTGACTGGACTATTTTGATTTGGTTCATCCAGCTTGCAAGCCCACATTTCACTTCACAGGTTTGTACTTCTAGCAGTGAGTGCCTTTTTACTTGAGAACAATAATGACACAGGTAAACAGACTAATTGTCTGTTAGAAGTCATTCCAGATTTGTGAGTGGTGGTGGGAGGCAGGCAAAAAGGAGAAGAAAAAGAGAAATCATTCCAGGTTGTTCAACAAACACTGGATGTCCACAATCACTTTTAATTTGAACATATCCCCTCAAATTGATGCCAAGTGGCTCAATACTTTTGTCCATCACATCATTATTTTGAAGCCTAGAAATCTTACTTTTTACCCTAACTCATCACTGTACATCACTTCCGTTTTCTGTTCATAGGATCACAAAATATCAGAATTGGGAGAGAATTTTTAGTTTAGTCCAGTATCTCACATCAATCCTCTTTCTCTATGGTTCTGTGTCTTCCTTGATTCATCCAGCTTGTACTGTCTGAGGGTCTGTGACTATAGGCCTATTGCTCTGCCCAATGGGATTCTTACGGCATATGGTATTTGGGTGACTTCTTTCTGACAACAAGTCGAACTCTCACTCTGTTGTTCAGGCTGGAGTGCAGTGGCACAATCATAGCTACTGCAGCCTCGACTTGCTGGGCTAGTTGGTCCTTTTGCCTTATCCTTACAAGTAGCTGGGACTACAAGCACACCACCACGCACAGCTAATTTTTTAAATTTATTGTAGAGACGAAGTCTCACCATGTTGTCCAGACTGATCTTCTGGGCTCAGGCAATCCTCTCACCTTTGCCCCCCAAAGTGCTGGGATTACAGGCTTTCTGGGATTACCTGGCTCTGACATATTTAATAACACTTCACACTAGGCAGGTACTTTGTTAGCTTTGTGGCATTTTAGCTTGCTTTATTCCAATCCCCTTGGTACCAAAATTAGACAAAGACATCATAAAAAAGGAAACTACAGACACATCCCTTTGAATATATATGCAAAAGTCCTCAACAAAATACTGCCAAACTGAATCTAGCAACATAAGAAGGGATTATACACAATAACCAAGTGGGATTTATCCCAAAATGCAAGGTTGGTTCAATACACAAAAAAGTCAATGTAACACGCTAGAGTACTAGAATAAGGACATAAATGAAGTTCTAAGATATGCTAAAATATGGATGAACCTTGAAAAACATGGTAAGTGAAAGAAGCTATACATGGCAAAAAAGCCACATATTGTGATTCTATTCATATGAGATGTCCAGAATGGGTAATCATATAAAGATGGAGAGTAGAGTTGTGGTTGTCAAGGGCTGGGGGGAAGAGGGAATGTGGAGTGACTGCTAATGTGTATGTTTCTTGTTGGGGTGATTAAATTATTCTGGAAATCGCACTGTTGTTATCCAATCTTGTGATTATACTAAAAACTGCTGAGTTGTACAATTTAAAATGGTGAATTTTATCGTCTGTGAATTATATCTCAACAAAAAAGAATCCTAAAGCACTTAGCTGACTGTTAAGGGCAATTAGATGCTCCAATCAATGTGAGTTATTTGATGGGAGACATGGACCCCTGGGAATCTTTTCCTAGACCACAAATATAGCCATCATTTGTTGAATGATAAGGAGAGAAGTGAGCGCCAAAGATCTTACTCCATGCAATCTCTAAGAAATTGTGTCCCAGGAGTTGCTTTTGGTTTAGGTTAAAATTTTAATTTCCAACTCTGCCTCCTAAGCATTGTATTAATTTTACTTTCAGCATCAGTATGACAGCCTGCTCCACAGTGGCTGCCCTGGGGATGATGCCACTCTGCCTTTATCTCTACACCCGGTCCTGGAATCTTGAACAGAACATCACCATACCATATCAGAACATAGGTCTGTACTGGGCTTGTGGAAACGGAGTATGAACAGTAATGGTGATGATACTCATAATAGCCATTGTCAAAGATTTTTGTGTGTTTGTGGGCAGGGATAGTGGATGCAGAAACAAATGCAGATTTAATTAAAGCTATTGTCTAATTGAACTACAAATTGTTGAAAGATTGGGTGTGGTAGCTCACACCTGTAATGCACTTTGGGAAGCTGAGGCAAGAGGATTGCCTGAGCTCAGGAGTTTGAAACGAGCTATGGCAACATGGCGAGACCTCATCTCTACAATAAAATAAAAAACAATTAGTCGGGCGTGGCGGTGCGTGTCTGAAGTCTCAGCTACTTGGAGGGCTGAGGTGGTAGGATCTTCTGAGCCCAGCAGGTTGAGGCTGTGGTAGCCATGATCATGCCACTACACTCCAGCTTGGGCAACAGAGTGAGACCCCAACTCAGGAAAAAAAAATTGTCAGGAAAGATTGTGCAGTGCTGATGAGAGGGGAGATCATTTGATGGATTGCTCTTTTCAATAGGAATTACCCTTGTGTGCCTGACCGTTCCTGTGGCCTTTGGAGTCTATGTGAATTATCGGTGGCCAAAACAATCCAAAGTCATTCTCAAGGTGAGCTCCATGTCACTGTTAGCACATCCTCTGACTCAGAGACCTGAGCAATGGAAGTAGGCAATAGCTGGAATACACGAACCCATCCAATACAGCCCCAACTCCAGCTGTTTTCCCAGACACATTCCATGGTTTGGGATCCAGGTCTCATATTTCCTCCACCCCTCTAAGCTTTACTCCATCACTCCCATAAGCCTGTACACTGAGGCCCATACCCTCAAAAACAGTGACAGAAAAACTAAAACCAGTGAGATGGAGAGCAAGAGTGGAAGGTTGCCAAACAGACAGATCAGCTGGGTACAGAGAGACAGAAGGATGGCTTAGTGTGGCGCATTTGGATTGCATGTAGATGACCTTAACATTGACAGTGTACACTTGGTTTTCACTCTCCTTTTCAACTGTACTCATGGAATATATATATCATTTTTTCCCCACATTTATTATTATTATTTCAATAGGAGAACACTTCCAATGTGGCATTATCTGGTTATTTTGTTTTGTTTTCTTTTTTTTTTTGAGTTGGTGTCTCACTCTGTCACCCAGACTGGAGTGCAGTGGCTGCTCCAGGAGCGGCCACTGCAGCCTCGACCTGCTGGGCTCTGTTGATCCTTCCGCCTCAGTTTTCCAAGTAGCTGGAACTACAGGCACGCGCTACCATGCCCAGCTAATTTTTGATTTTTTTGCAGAGACGAGGTCTCGCCAAGTTGCCCAGGTGGGTCTTGAACCCGCGGGCTCAGACAATCCACTTATCTTGGCCTCCCAAAGCCCTGGGATTACAGGCTCAAACACCAAGCCTGGCCTGATTACTTCTTTTAAATGGGCATTTAGCAACAACACAAATCATGATTTTGATGTTTCCAGATCTTCTATTAATCCATCAGTATCAATGGAGAAACTAGACACATTTTCTGTATGCCAATTTTATTACCTGTAAAGACTAGATTTAAAAGCTCTTTCTTTGGCTATTTCATAGAATTTGTGGCAAAAAAAAAAAATTGATAATATGCATAAATATTCTAGAGCACCTTAGTAAAAACCTAGGCTAACTTAATCATTATTTTTGTATATCTTCACTCTTTTTTCTTAATTTTAGGGGTGACAGACTTTCTGAATAAACCAATTTTTCTCATTTGCTTTTGGTGAATTTTAAACTTTGAAATCTCCTTTTGGTAGAGAGGAGTGGATTTTGCATCCAGAGGCCTTCTAGTGTTTCAGCGTATTACTGTTAGTCAGAGGCCTGGTCTGTCCCTGTATTTGAACAGTAAAAATGACCCTAGAGCACATCTGTGGCTCACCAGGTCATTTTGTTTGATTTATTGCTTTCTTTCATTCTCCATGAGCACTTTTCTTTACCCTGAATCCTTTCACATTGAGGTTGATACTGTAACTAGGTGCACCAGTTTGCTTGTCTACATGGTATGAATGGGAGCTTGCCAAGATGCTGATTTTTCTAAAATATCTTAAGCCATGCTTCCTTTCAATTTGGTCTAAAACTCAGACTATTGGAATTTTCTTGTTGTTGATTTTTGTTTGTTTCTGTTGTTATTAAACAACAAAGTAAGAGACAGTCTTCTACTTGGGAGAGGATAAAGGTCTCTTGGTATCTTGTGATCCTGAATACCAGCTCAGATAGTCTCATGAAGAATGGGTACATTTTATTTGGGGGGGAGGATGGGGGAAGGACAGCGATCAAAGCAGCAGGCAGCCATTGATGGTTGAAGGGACGGGGGAGGGGAGGTGAATGGTCTGACAGGGCAGACCCCAGATGATAGGTTATGAGCCAGGGCCCTTAGAGGTGTTGGATGTTTACTGTCAGACTCCACTTAATTCATTTTGTCCTATCCATGAAAAACTCTATTACCCAGTCCTTCCGGCCAAATCCTCTACTTGAAGGGAAAAGATTTTGATAATAACAATTCTTAGATTTATGGCAAACCCCATCACTTTCTTTTTTTGAATTGGAGTCTCACTCTGTCGCCCAGGCTGGAGTGCAGTGGCATGCTCACAGCCACCACAGCCTTGACCTGCTGGGCTCTGGCAATCCTTCCGCCTCAGCCTTCCAAGTACCCGGAACTACAGGCGCGCGTTACCACGCCTGGTTAATTTTTGATGTATTGTAGAGATGAGGTTTCGCCACGTTGCCCGGGCTAGTCTCAAACCTGTGGACTCAGGCAATCCACTTGCCTCGGCCTCCCAAAGTGCTGGGATTACAGGCTGAGCCACTGAGCCCGGCCAAACCCTACCACTTTCTAGTGTAGCCAAGTTATTTGACCACTCTACAACTCAGGCTTCCCCTCTACAAAATGAAATCAGATTCTCTCATTCCTAAGTGTCCCCTCTTTTGTTCTAGAATGTCTAAGGTCCAAGCCTTTTAGAGCCCTGATGGGCTTTGCATCGTACAGCAAAACTCCCTGATACTTACATGTACTTATTTTATTGGTTTGCTTCAGATCGGGGCCATTGTTGGTGGGGTGCTCCTTCTGGTGGTCGCAGTTGCTGGTGTGGTACTGGCGAAAGAATCTTGGAATGCCGACATCACCCTTCTGACCATCAGTTTTGTCTTTCCTTTGATCGGCCATGTCACGGGCTTTCTGCTGGCACTTTTCACCCAGCAGTCTTGGCAAAGGTACAGTAAAAGTAGCTATAAACCTTTTTGAGGAAGGTAAATTAAACACACTGCCCTGGAAGGCGTTGCTGCCTGGCTGTGTCAGGAGACATGAAGAGTTTTGACTTCCATGGCAGGTGGAACAGGACAGCTAAGCACAAAGAGGGTGGAAAGATCATGGGAATTCTTTATGTAAACTAAAGCAAAGGCCAAATTGATGGGAAGCTGTAATCTGTGAAATTACGACTGGTGTGTTAATACCACTTGTTAAGATATGGATGCGTTTCTCTTCTTAGGAGTAATGGGATTGTTTCCTTAAACATAGGGCAGGGGCAAGTTTCAAGAGATTAAATCCTTATCCATTGTGTGTGCCAATTTTTTTTTTTTTTGTTATTTAGTTTTTATTTCTCTGCAATCCAACTAGATGTGGAAGGAAATAAGGAAAATATGGAACCCAAAGAATTGTAGCAAGAGCACAAAGATTATAGGGATACTGCGAGCAAATGGGATGGAGGGGGTGCTCTCCTGAGCTACAGAAGGAATGATATGGTAGTTTAAGATAAAACAGTCAAATGTATTAGAGTTGTCCACAGTCAGCAATGGTGATCTTCTTGCTGGTCTTGCCGTTCTTGGACCCAAAGCCCTCCAAGGCTTGCACAACATTCATGCCCTCTTTCACCTTGCCAAAAACCACTTGCTTGCCATCCAACCATTCGGTCTTAGTAGTGCAGATGAAAAACTGGGAACCGTTTGTGTTGGGTCCAGCATTTGCCATGGACAAGATGCCGGGACCTGTATGCTTCAAGATGAAGTTCTCATCATCAAATTTCTCCTCATAGATGGACTTGCCGCCAGTGCCATTATGGCGTGTAAAGTCACCACCCTGGCACATAAACCCTGGAATAATTCTGTGAAAGCAGGAACCCTTATAACCGAATCCTTTCTCTCTAGTGCTCAGAGCACGAAAGTTTTCTGCTCTCTTTGGAACTTTGTCTGCAAACAACTCGAAGGAGATGTAGCCCAAGGGCTCGCCGTTGTCGGCGATGTCTAAGAACACGGTGGGATTGACCATGGCTGATGGGAAAAGGTTCAAGACGGTGGCGTCTGCAGAGCCGTGTGTGCCAAATTTTTAAAAATTGGTAATTATTAGAGGCAAGAAGAGAAAGGAGATCAACTTGAGAAATAAGATAGGAATTTTGTCCTAAATATTATCATTAAAAATTGGGACATGTCATTTTTAAATACTGTGAAATATTAAAAGTGATAAGACTCCATTTTGGTATGCTTGTAATGAGATGAGCTTTATCATACAATGATGGAGGAGCTATAAAATGGTATAAACTCTCAGGAAGGCAATTTAGTGTCATATCAATAGCTTTATAAATATTTATAGTTGTTAACTCAGTAATTTTAATTTTAAAAATCTGCCCTGATGCAGCACTGTTAGATATGCACATGAATATTGATGTGCTCAGATGTTAATTGCAGTGTTATGTATAAAATAAAAATAGAAATATTTAAATATCTAACAATAGGGAGATATTTAATTCATGATGTATCCGTGTGAGGAATATGATGCAATTTTATTGATTTTGGAAAATACTCAAGATAAAAAATTAAAGAAGAATAGAAGATGATATGTATTTCGATTCCTGCGTTGTAGAAGAATGCAGAAAGAATTCTATGCATTGAAAAATGCACCATAATGTAACAGTGTTTAATTTTGAGTCCTGAGATTATGGGTAATTTTAGTTCTTTAGATTTCCTTTATGTATATTTGAGGTTTTTCCAATAAGTAGGTACTGCTTTTAAAATCAGAAAATAATTACTAAAGAAAAGTAAACTGTGCGGTTGAATTGCAAAGGTGAAGATCGAGAAATTTTTAATTGGCTTTATGTCATTCCACTTGGGAACCAAGCACTGGATTTAGCTCCATTTAGTCAGTCTTATTAACTCCTTACTACAACCCTGAGAGGTAGATACCATCTTTACTCTCATTCTACTGAGGAGCAAACCCTTCAGAGAAGTTAAGTGACTTGACCAAGTTCATAGAGCTAGACAATGGTGGAGTTAGGATTTGAACCTGGTTTGTTTCCAACATCAACAATTAGGAACACAGACTGTTAAGCAGTTGAAATATGATTTGATCAGGAGAGAAAGTACTCCTACGGCAAGATGTAGTAAGTAAACTCGTCTTTTTGGTATCTGATGGTCTGACAAAGATCGGCATGGAGATATTGTATTTGCCTTGTGAGTGGCCCTAACATGAGTTCCAGCTCTGTAGTTTAATCATGTCAAGTTATTGGCAAGGGTCTGAAAGAAGTGAGAGGAGTTTGAGTGTAGCGATCAATAGGGTGAGAAGCATTAAAATAGGAACACAGAACTTGTCCCGTACCATTGACAGTATTTCTACTACCACATGACACACCCTTGTTACCTCCACTTCCAATCCAGCTTGCACATAGATGCTGGCTTATCTTCTGAAATACCTTTTCATTCTCTTCACTTCTAAGAACACATAAAGTCCTGCAGAGTACCTTGATAAATTGGAGATGGATGAGACAACCCAGCTCCCAAGGTCCTGCCCATGCCTTCCCTCTCCTCCTGCCTTGGTCTTTTTCAAGTGAGGTTTGTTTCATTTTCTGAAATCAGGAAACCAATAATATACAGAAAAGTAGAAAATAGTAAAAATATTACTAAACTTTTTCACCAAAGACAGCCATTTGAGACACCTGGTTTTTGTGTTTTTCAAGTGTTTAGTTTATACTGTCTCACACCTCTAACCCAGCTTTCCACTCTTATCTCCTCCAATCCTCCACTCCATGTAGATTTTCTTACAGTGTGTACAATGCCTACTGGATAGCTCACACTCGCACATGTCCCTGGAACTTTAGTTTCTGTCAATTTTTCCCCCACGTTAAATGCCTTTTCCACTTTCTATCCTTTAATCACACTCCACCTCTGTGAATCCTTCTCTAACCACTTCTACCACTTTTCTGAATTTCTATAGCATCTCCCCAGCCCCGAATCATACTTTGTCTTGTGCTGTTACTGCACCTGTCCTTTGTGTGTATCTTGTCTCTCCACCCAGATTTCTGGGGCAGGGTTTGCAAAGTCCCCAGTGCCTCTCAGAAGACCTCCTACAGAGCAGGCACTCAGCAAATAACTATTGGTGAATAAACATGTGTAGTGACCTGAGCTAATAGCTTATGTTTGTTGTTATACATGTGAGAAAATTTAAGAGTAGTTCATGATGCTAGGACATAGCTCTTGAACATTTTTTTTCATTGATAGATGCAGGACGATTTCCTTAGAAACTGGAGCTCAGAACATTCAGATGTGCATCACCATGCTCCAGTTATCTTTCACTGCTGAGCACTTAGTCCAGATGTTTAGTTTTCCATTGGCCTATGGACTCTTCCAACTGCTGGATGGATTTCTCATTGTTGCAGGTAGGTGAACTCCCATCAGTTAGACTTTGAAAATTGGTCACTCTAGCTACTGTTTTTCAGTCTAAACTTGCATATGCTGCCCCTGTGATAAATTTTTAGCCTGACATTTCTGGGGACAATAAAGTGCATAAGCAGGAGAGTTTGATGCAAGTGTGAGTTTCACAGAAAATTATAAAAAACCATCTGCAAGTGAGGTTATGATTATGTACAACTATTCTTCACAAAAGCCAATACACTACTGGAACTTAGATTTCAAGATTTGTTAAGACAAGGTCTCCACGAACAACTGTTTATTTCAAAAATGACATTTGTCGAACTTAAGTCTTTATCGGTTATGTCTCATTAAAAGCCAGAGGTCTCCCAAATGTCAAGTTATTTCAGTGTTTCTATGACTAACACTTGTGTTGAATGTGATTTTTTTGTTTTGTTTTGTTTTGAGTCAGGGTCTCACTCTGTTGCTGAAGCTGGAGTGCAATGGCATGATCATGGCTCACTGGGCTCAGGCAGTCCTCCAACTTCAGTTGCTCAGTAGCTGGGACTATAGGTGCATGCAACCACACGGCTAATTTTTTTTTTTTTTTTTTTTAAGACAAATTCCTGCTATACTGCCTAGATGATCTTGAACTCCTGGGCTCAAGCAATTTTCCCACCTCGGCCTCCCATAGTGCTGAGATTACAGATATGAGCCACCATGCCTGTCCCAAAATATTTTCCAATATGAAATACAATGTTGTATACTGCTCTGCTGGGCTCAAGCAATTCTTTCACCTCAGCCACCCAAGTAGTTGGAACTACAGGCATGTGCCACCACACCTAATTTTTTGTAGAGATGTGATCTTACCCTGTTGCCCATGCTGGTCTCTAACCTGTAGGCTCAGGCAGTTCTCTCGCCTTTGCCTCCCAGAGTGCTGGGATTGCAGGCATGAGCCACTGCACCCAGCCTCAAATATTTTTCAAGTATGAAATATGATGTTGATACCATACGAGTATATGTATATGTGTGTATGTGTGTATTTACATATCTATACAACCAAATAGACATTATTTTGGTGTCTATCATTATATAGTTCATTGAAGGCAAACTAAAAAATATATATGTATACATACACATACGTTTTAATCTTGGGCCATTTTTACTGTCATCAGGGATCAGGCACTAAGTAAGGCCCCGTGATTCCTGATATAACTGATTAGACACTGATAGCTGATTATTATATGCAGATTATAAGTTAATCATCAATATCACAAGATAAAGAATGCTTGGGGTTTAATTTTCACATGATAAGTGACATCCTGTCAGAGTAGACCTCTTGGCCTTCCGTCTATGTTTTAATCCCTTCTCATGGGGGCACTGTGGGAAGCATCACGTCGGCCCACCCTAGCTCCATCCCAGCACCCAGAGAGCCTGACTCATAGGGAGCACCCCAGGACTTGCTGAGTGACTGACTGACTGGGTGGGTGAGTGAGCAACCTGATGAATGAATCTCAATCCAGACAGAAAAAGCCACTCTGATATACCAACTCTTTTTTTCTTTTTAAGTCAGAGTCTTCCTCTGTCGCCCAGGTTGGAGTACAGTGGCATAGTCATGGTTCACTGCAGCCTCAACCTCCTGGGCTCAGGTGACCCTTCTGCCTCAGCCTCCTGAGTAGCTGAGACTACAGGCGCATGCCACCATGCCCAGTTAGATTTTTTTTATTTTTTGTAGAGATGAGGTCTTGCTATGTTGCTCAGGAGGGTCTTGAACTTCTGGGTTCAAGCTATCCTCTCTCCTCAGCCTCCCAGAGTGCTGGGATTACAGGTGTGAACCCGAAACTCAGCCACTAAAACATTTGTTCATAGCTTCCTCTCTTTTCGCTCCTTTTTCTCTGTATGTTTATACATATATGTCAAGCAAGGAGTCCCCCATGTAGTGACAAGCATGCAGTGTCACCAAATTATACTTTTGCCAAAGTGGTTTTTCATACTTGTATGTTTTAACACCTAGCATACCAGACATACAAGAGGAGATTGAAGAACAAACACAGAACAAAGAACCCAGCTTGTGCAGAAGGCTGCCACAAGAAATCCGCTTCTTCCAGAGAGACCAGTGCTTTCTTGGAAGTGAATGAAGAAGGTGCCGTGACTCCCGGGCCACCAGGGCCAATGGATTGCCACAGGGCTCTAGAACCAGCTGACCACCTCACCTTGTGTGAATAGTGGGGACTTGCTGGCTAGACTGTCCCCTTTTTCCTCAGAGGCCAGTGATGACAGTGTGGCACTGACGTGTGACCCTTGTTGGTGGGGCCTGTGTGAGTGTTCAGGTGTCACATGTGAGAATACTTATATTTTTGTGTGGCTTGTGAATTGTGATAGGATCACTTTTTTGAGAATGTGTTCCACCCATTTCAGGGAGTTGCTTCTGGGAGTTTACATGACATATTTACAAGCTGTCTGGAGTGTTCCTGGCGGTAGACAGCGACCCTCATTATGTGAAGTCATGCTCATGTGGATTTTAATCAAAAAGAGTTAGGACTGAGGGGAGACGCTGTCCCCTTGTGGTGCAGGCAAGGCACACCTAGGTTTTGCTTGACTTTGGACAGGTCCTTTGGAGCTCTGGGGAGGAAACACAGCTCTCCTAATAAAGGGGGCACTGTTTTCAAATAGTTGTTATTTTTTAAGTGCCTGAAAATCTTTTTTGATTGCAGATGTATTACAAGCTTAGAGAAAATGTAAAGAACACAGGGTTAAACATGGAATGCCCAGTATTTTCACTCCCTAGAGACAGATGGAAACGTGTCCTTCTAGGCCATATATACACACACACATATAATACATATGTAATAAACATATTACGGGGACCCAAAAACGATTTCTCTTTTGGGGGGCGGGTCCCTTGCAGTATAGGCTTTCCCTGCTAGGTAAGTGTTCTAGTAAGTGTCTGGAAGTTTTGAGAAGGTTGTGTCATGGGTTGCAGAAGAAACGTCCTGAGTTGTGACGTACAGGTGACTGGTTCTGCCACCATGATAAAGCACCTGCCCACATCACGCTTAGTGCACAGCAATTTTTGATCAAAAAACGGCATGACATCCATGCCTCACTCGCCCTATTCACCCGATCTCGTCCTGAGGGATGGTTTTTTATTTTCCTGGATGAAAAATGTCCTCAAAGGGAAAGGTTTTGCTGATGTGGAAGAGATGAAGTGAAAAATGGCAGAAGCATCAAAAGGCATCAAAACTGAGGAGTTCAAAAATGGTTTTGAGCAGTGGAAAAGTCGTCTCGATAGGTACATTGCATCCAACAGATACTCTGAAGGTGGCTGAAGTTTAGACTTGCAAATGAATAATTTTTAATAAAATTCAGTGTTTTGGGGTCCGTCATATACATATGTATAGTATCATTTAAAAAATATTGCAATCATTCCACACATACTGCTGTTAAGTCACTTGATGACATGGAACATCGTTGCATGTTAGTCTGCGTTGATCTACCTCATCCTTTAGAATAGTGGCCACGTAGAAGCATCCACTGCATGGAGGGCCTGTAGTCCAAGCAGCCCTTACCCGTGGACATGTAGACGCTTTCAGCTTCACGTATGACAGTGCTGCCACAAACACCTTGCCCTTGTGCAGGGACTTCTGTGGGCTCACTTCCTACCACTTGAATTGCCACGCCGATTGCCAACAGGGACGTTGGCAGATGCACCCTGGTGGTGTTATACGGCCATGCCCAGGACCAATTTTCATTTAAGATAGCTCGTTTAAAATTACACTTAAAAAATATAAGTAGAGCATTTTTTATGACCATTGCCTATCCATGTCCTTTGCCTGCTTTTCAGTTGAATTTTTTTCATTCTGATTTATAGATTTTAACATATGATAGTCCTATGTGCTGTCAATATTTTACCTACTCTGTTTATCTTTTGTTTCTCTCTCATGTCTTTTGCTGTACATTGTTTTATCTTTTTTACAGATTCAGGTGTATTAATCTTTTTAAGGATGTTTGTTGACCTTGATATCTGCCTGTTGTTAGAATATTTATATTATTGTGTGGATTGTGAATTGTGATAGGACCTCTTTTGGAGAATGTATTTGGCCCCTTTTCAGGAAGTTGTTTTGGGGTCTTTCACAATGTATTTCCTAGCTGCTGTGAAATTCTTTTTCTCTCCTGCAATAAATGGTGCCTGGCAGTAGGTGAAATCCATTCTGTGTTCGACATTATTAAAAGTATTTTTCCATTTATTTTTCTATTACTTTCATGGACTGAATATGTACATGTTTATTCCATTTTGAATTTATTTTTGTATGTGAATCCTCTGATTTTTATAGTTATTTATCCAAACATCATGTATGGAATCATGTATCTTTTCTCCACTGATGTGAAGTGTCACCTTTGTCACACAACTTCCTGTATAAAGCGTTTTTTGCTGGGATTTTGTTTGGGTCCATTTTGTGCCTATTCTCATTGGTAAGTTTTGGAATATGTGAGAAAGTGTTTTGTCTGAGATTTAGTGCCTTATATTTATTTTGTAAATATTCCCAATAACTTGTGGGCTCACATGATGATTATGGTATTTTCACAATTCAGGAAGCCTTTGTGGTGATACAGAAAGAGCCTGTTAGCTCTTAGTGCCACAAGCACTTTGTATATGGAGGAGAACGACACAGATCTGTGATGACTTAACGCTCACCTGTTGCTTTACTGTGTGGGGTTCCCATCATCCGTGTGAGATCGATGTGTGTGAAGCTAGTCTGGGCTACGGATAGGCACAGGGGACACACCGGCAGTAACGAGGCAAAAGAGTTCCTGCCCTCACGAAGTTTATAGTCTAGTAGGGGCATCGACCCTTGCAATGAACATGGTTAGGAGACTCATGAGTTCACAAAGATTCCTGGGCTTAAAATCAGCATTACTGTGAGTTAAAAAAAAAAATTCCATGAAAACGAATTTTGACATCATTTCTCCACAGAGATTTCCAACACAAAGTGGTAAACTGCAGTGCTCTTCAGAAGGCATTAACAATATGGTCCGTGGCTGAGTTCGGTGGCTCAACCTGTAATTCCAGCGCTTTGGGAGCCTGCGGGTTCGAGACCAGCCAGGGCAACTTGGCGAGACTTTGTCTCTGCAATAAAGAAAGAAACAAAAGACAAAACCAATATGGTCCATATTTACCAGTCAGAACATCCCCATGATGGGGGACGGGTCAATTCCCAAAGGCTTCCTGTAAGGCAGGAAGTGCTAATCAGTGTGAGGGCTCCAAGGCCGTCCTGCCAGGAGGCTGTTGCCTCCAGAGATGGTTTGTAAACAACAGAAGAACTCGACCTAGCGAAGCCGTTCAGGAGGCCACACATTGTCCTTAGGACAGAGAATAGAACTAAAAAAAGGGTCTACTTGCATTGATCTAAATAATCATGAGTTAATGAAGTGTGGGACCAGGCCAGGTGTGGTGGCTTGCGCCTGTAACCCCAGCACTTTGGGAGGCCGAGAAGGGAGGATTGCTTGAGTCCAGGAGTTTGAGACCAGCCTGGGCAACAGTGAGACGCCCGTCCCTATTTAAAAAAAAAAAGAAAAGAAAAAAGCCTAAAAAAAAGCCAAGAGTGAGACCTATGAAACTCAGGAATGGGGCCAGGAAACTAGGGAGCCTAGCTCTGCGTCTGGAAGAGCCAACGGGCTCCTGGCAGCCGAGTGGGAAGAACCTGAGCTGATCAGCCTTGGCGTGTGCTTTGTCCACTAGGAGGCGCCCCGCCCAAACGCCTGGGCTTCCTCACTTGGCTCCCTTGTAGACTAATATATATTGGCAACATGGTTCGTCAGTGTGCTGAGGGTTTGCTTAACCCGGCCCTTGGAATATACCTAATTTTGGTTGCATGAATAAGAATGTTTCTGAACCAGCAAAAACCGAAGACTTTGTTTAAATGCTTCCTACCGTGAATCTCTCCAGTTAAACTCCAGATACTTCAGAGGTCAGAAGATCTCAAAAGATTGACAGTGGTAGCTACTGAGAAATGTGGGAATTGAAGTGGAGAGGCACACCCTGCCCACTGCTGAATTCCAGTGGCTTCTTTTGTCCTTATAAACAGAACCAAGGTTTTGTTCAGGACAGCAGTATGTCTAGCTTGAAATAATTTTCTTGAAACTAATGAGCATGTGGCATTTTTTGCTATTAAGATAGAAACAGGAGTCTGCTGATAATTTCTGGGGAATTTTGCTTTCTTGTCCTACGTACTGACACTTTCTCCTTGTCAATTCCTATTTCCTTTCTGGAATGTGAATGTAATAGTTGGAGCTGCAGCAGTCATTTTCAGACCATGAAGAGAAGGCCAGGATAATTATAGAACTGTTGACATTCTTGAGCTATAGAGTCAATCCCAGCATCTGCCTACTTCAGAACTTGAGAAAAGAAAATAACTCTAACTTGTGTAAGCTTGTTTGGTTGTTTATGGCTATTTGTAGTCAAACACAATCCCAAACTGAAAATTTAAATTGGCTTTAAAATATTATGTGGGCCAGCTCATAATTGGTCACATTTATCTCCACCCAAACAAGGTAACTTAAGTATTTCTGAATTATGTAAAATGAGAACACATCCTTTCATTATCAGATTATCTATGCCTGGAAGATAGCTATGACAGACTGTTGTTTTAATTCTTGGATTATCATATGTTTAGATAACTAATTTTTTAAAGGTCTATTTTGAGCCAAATGTAAGTCACCTAGGCCCGTGGCACAGTCCCAAGAGGCCTTGAGAACATGTGATAATGAATCTTTTTTTTTTTTGAGTTGGAGTCTCACTCTGTTGCTCAGGCTAGAGTGCAGTGACACGCTCCCGCCACTGCAGCCTTGACCTGCCGGACTCAGGTGATCCTTCCACCTCAGCCATCCAAGTAGCCGGAACTACAGGTGTGCACTACCACGCCCAGCTAATTTTTTGATTTATTGTAGAGACAATTTCTCACCATGTTGCCCAGGCTGGTCTCGAACACGCAGGCTCAGGTAGTTCTCTCACCTTGGCCTTCCAAAGTGCTGGGATTACAGCTTGAGCCACTGCGGCCAACCAATGAATCATTTTTAGTCTCAAAGACCCAGCAGGTCATCTGGGGCCACGGATGTAAAATAATGTGATCTTTTTACAACAGTCATTTCTTTCCTGTTTATCATGATAATTCAAAATTATCTCTGCTAGTGACATGTATCAAAATTTTGGTTTTGGGATAAAAAAGTTATTAGTTCTGCAATGCTCAGGCCTGGACCATCATACCATTCTTCTGGAATATGACTTTGGCTCCATTTTAGGAATACACTCTACCACAATCCGTGTTCCCCCTTGTATAGCATAGTGTTGTTGTGGGAAAACAGCCAATTATCCAATGATGTTTTCCAGCTTCCTTGACTTCAGGGGCCATCATTCGGCCAGTTCTTGCTGAAACAAGCGGGGGTGATGTGTTCTGCTTGCAGCCTTCGTCCAGCTCCCAGAACGTCCCCACGGGTGAGCCTCCACAGAGGTGGGCTTCCACGGGAATGGTAGCGATGCTGGAATGATCCCGGAAATCATGTGTTGGCGACGGAAGTGGCATCAGCCTGGAGTTCCTAAAAACTGAGGGCCGAAGAGCTGCCTTGCTGAGCTGTTCACTTGCCCAGAACTGTCAGATAAACCAGAAATAAGCCATCATGTTTAAGCCGCTATATACAGTGCCAAAAAAAGGAACACACATTTTTTTTATGAACAAAGGCAAGAAAAATCCTTTAATAGCAAGGAATACAGATTTTAAGAAAGGAAAAAACTATTGGAAGTATAATACTCCATGTATACTGATAACAAAAGATGAATACAAGTCATGTTTGACCTCTGCAATTACAAATGGTGCTCTAAGTGGTTCTCATCAGCGTCCAGACACTTCTGATGACGGCGAACAACTGCAGAGCTTGTTGCTGTGCGAGACCTCCCAGATCTTCCTTTGTGCATATCACACACAGGACCATACGTCTCCAATGCCTCACAAATGCATGCAGTTGTTAGGTGTGTTTGAGGTTCTGTTGCAGACTCATGCCTCCATTGTTGTTGTGCTTCCACAACATTCTCAAATTTCAAATACCACAAAACGGTCTTGAGTTCCTTGAAGGATAACCGTGCTTCCCCCATTTTCTTTGACCTGTC